CAGGGGATCCTAAGATTGTCTGGCAGTCACAACTTCTAGCTCTGTTAGCATTATGCACCACTAGGTAGTGAGCTAGACTTGTTTTTTTAAGGCAAGAGACGTTTCAGAGGTGGTTTGCCATTGCCTGCCTCTGTGTCATGACCCTGGTATTCCTTGGAGGTCGCCCATCCACATACTAGCCGAGGCCGACCCTGCTTAGCTTCCGAGATCTGACATGACTGGGCCGGCCTGGGCTATCCAGGTCAGGGCTGTGAAGCACGGTGGCTAGCAATGTTCCCTCTAAGCTGTGGAGTCTTGTGAGCAAAAATGCTACTTTGTGAGCTACTGGCATTAAAGTTGTGAGCGAGCGATTTGGATCCTGCATAAGTTAGTTTGTTCTGAAGCCCTCCTTCCTGAGCTAGGACAAAAATGTGTGAGCCGTAGGCTAAAAAACTGTGAGCTAGCTCACACTAACTCAGCTTAGAGGGAACACTGGTGGCTAGTATTAATAATACTTTAAATACGTTCGCCACCATACAGTTACTGTCCCTTATTTCCTGGCCCGGAAACATGGCCGCTGTTTAAAATGCGCTTGTCTTGCTTCTCGGCGGCAGAAAGGTGCTCCCCCTAATTCATCCGAGGAACGTAATTAGCCTTTAGTATCAATTAAGAGGCTGCGCGAAACCGTGGCTTACCGTAGCTCAAAGGTCTGTATTTACAAATGTCCTTAATAAGCGCATCCAGATTGGCAACTATCTGGTCATTAGGCATATCCAGCTGAAAGGAATTAATACAAAGTTAACGAAGCAGAAAGGGGGGGGGGGAAACAGTCACCGCTGCCGGATTAATAAAAATCGCAGCAGCAGGGGTAAATATTTAATCAGAGCTCCGGGCCTGGGTTTCGTCTCTGTGATAATGGGGGAAACATTTTCCTCTCTATTAAAGATGCAAAGTACCAAAAATGCTGTGAAAAGGGGGGGGGGGACCACACGCTTTAAACCAAACCCAGCGACTGCAATCACACGTGACGAGGTATCTGTGCAATGTATGTGTGTACTAAAAGGGGGCCCCCCGCAAAGACTTACAAGGAGGGGGAATTCCCATTTCTCCACTCGGGCATCGGTTGCAACTTCCCCTCCGCCGCTGCCGGATCCCCTCCGCCTCCGCCAGCTCCGGCCTCCCCCCACCCCCCATCTTTTATTTATTTTATTTTATTTATACATTCAGCTTATATACCGCCCTGACCCCGAAGGGTCTCTGGCCGGTTTACATCCAAGTCTAAGACTACTTTTCCCCTAACTACGGCCACATCGTACAGGGGCGGGGCTGCCTACCGGCACCCAGGTGGTGGGGCTTTTTGCTGTTCCGGCTCGGCTCCTCCTTCCACTCTGCTCCACCCACCCACCCAGCTCCACATCGCCGCCACCACAGCTGGCCACAAACACCTCTTTAGCCCTGTTTACAACTTAACGGAAACCGCACGTATAATCCGTGCACTGCGTACACATGGCTTATTAAAAAATAAGTGCATCGCGGCCAGTGTTCCCTCTAAGCTGAGACCGTGTGTGCTAGCTCACAGGTCTTTTTTAGCCTTCAGCTCACACATTTTGGTCTCCGCTCAGAGCAGACTAGCTGATACAGAGGCCAAATCGCTCGCTCACAACGTTCATGCTGGTAGCTCGCAAAGTAGAATTTTTGCTCACAAGACTCCACAGCTTAGAGGGAGCATTGGTCACAGCACTCCCGAATAGGGGAGTATTTCATCTTGAGTAAGATAGCTTTTCACACGTCTAAATCACCCCTGGAAACATAGGATACACAAGCTGTAGCTGTATGGCTTCCTTAAATTAGCTATATGACAAAAAAAACATTGTTGTTCCAAAAAATCCCCTTAGGTAAGTAGGTCCCCGACCATATAGGGCTTTAAAGGCAAGAACCAGGACCTTGAACTGAATTTGCTATAGGGAGCCGGTGCAGTGCTTTTAGGGCGGGGCTGGATGTGTTCCCGCACAAGAAGACACAACAACAGCCTCGCTGCTGCGTTCTGCACCAGCTGCAGCTTCCGGATTTGGGACAAGGGCAGCCCCGTGTAGAGAGCATTACAGTAGTCCAATCTCGAGGCGACCATTGCGTGGATCACTATGCCAGGCCAGCCATAGATGGTAAAAGGCAGACTGCACAGTGGCTGCTACCTGGGCATCCATCGTTAAGGAGACATCCAAGAGCACTCCCAAACTCCTAACCTCCAATGCTGGCACCCATGGAGCCCCCTCAAAGGTCGGGGGTGGGATCCCTACCCTTGACCTGCCCCGGCTCAGGACCTCTGCCTTTATTGGATTCAATCATCATTTTGAGCCATCAAAAAAGAACTGTTCCTGCCAATGAGACGGTGCCTTATGTGGAGTCACACCTCTGGACTAACAAATGCAATGTGTCTGCTCTTAAGTTCTCCGAGAACCCCGACCAAGGTCCACTTAGCGCAGGATGCCAGGGACTGAACTGGGAACCTTCTGCATGTAAAACGTGGGCTCTGCTGCCGAGCTACGCCCCCCCCCCCATTATGTACGCCTTGCTTCGCGACTGGTTTAGAAAATAAACCTCTTACGTTAGCAACGGTTAATGATTTACCAAATCTTTCCTAATGGACTGTAACTACCCTGCCCTGGGGAAGGATCTGTCTCATTACCTGGTCAGCGGGCAAGCGTTCCTGAAAGGCTACAATGCAAACCAAGTACTCTGGTGGTACGTTCATGCGTCGTCTCGGTAAATTATTAAACCCCTCCGCTGACCGAAAATTTCACTCTTGGGCTCAGCTTGCAAAGCTCCTTGCGAAACTTACCCTTGCGAACCACGGCTTGATTACGTTTTCGTTCTCCACCCTGTACTCGAGGCACACTTGGAAGAAGCTGAGCATCTTTGGAATGTCGTAGCTGACGGACCCTGGTTCAAACACAAACCAAAAGAGGGCATCAGACTAAGGCTGCGTGTGGGGGCGCCCGCTTGTATGCAACGTTCTGCGTGCACGGGAGCGCCCTTGTTTTTCTTCTGTGTCAAAAAACATTCCACATAGCACGGTAGAGAGACAAGCCCAGATCGATCCCTGATGCCAAAGGAACAGGAAAGCCTTGGAAAACACCAGGTTTGAATCCTCACTTTGCCAATGAATCTTGCTGGGTGACCTTGGGCCAGTCACACGCTCTCAGCCTAACCTACCTCATGGGGTTGTTGTGAGGATATAATGGGGGAGAGGACAACGATCTAAGTGGCTCTGGGCTCTCACTGAGGAGAAAGGCAGGGCGTTAAGTGTAGTAAATAAATAAATATATAAGAATGCATGGGATTTCGTGCATGTGCGTCTCGGGCCCACACCTGGATTTTAAATGTTCCTGATCTTTGTAATGCTCCCCCATAAAATCACTCCAACTCATTCACAGTCGGCCAGGTTTTATTTATTTATTTGATGAAGCTTATATCCCGCCCTCCCCGTGTTGTAGGCTCAGGATGGGTACCAACATGTATATATCTGCAGTTAATGCAGATTCAGGCGCTGCGGTGGCTCAAGTGGTTAAGACGCTGAACTGCAGGCTGTGGAAGGTCGGTAGTTCAGCAGTTCGAGACCCGGGTGCCGCATGATGGAGTGAGCTCTCGTCTCTAGTTCCAGCTCCTGCCAACCTAGCAGTTCGAAAGCAAGAAATTGCAAGTAGATAAATAGGTACCACTTCGGTGGGAAGGTAACAGCGTTCCATGCGCCTTGGCGTTTAGTCATGCCGGCCACATGACCACAGAAACGTCTTCGGACAGCGCTGGCTCTTCGGCTTGGAAACGGAGATGAGCACCGCAACCCTAGAGTCGGACTCGACTGGCTTTCGAGCAAGGGAACCTTTTACCTTTACCTTAATGCAGATTCACAATTTAAAACGTATTACAATCCAGGACTCTTTTTGTAGCAGGAACTCCTTTGCATATTAGGCCACACACCCCTAATGTAGCCAATCCTCCAAGAGCTTACAGAGCTCTTCTTACAGGAGCTACTGTAAGCTCTTGGAGGACTGGCTACATTAGGGGTGTGTCACCTAATATGCAAAGGAGTACCTGCGACAAAAAGAGCCCTGCAAAATCATCGACCTTAATTCAATGAAATCTTCAGCATTTAAAACAGCGTGCCTCAATGGCAGACAGTGTGGTTCCAGTCTGGCTTTCAAGTCTGGCTTTCAGGGTCTGAGGTGACTGGGGGGGGGGGAGGCCTAATCAAAAATGGATTGCCGTAGCCTGGTGGAAGAGCTCCGTCTGGCAGGCCCTACGGAACTGTAATGGGTCCCGCAGGGCCCTGATCTCATAAGGCAGCCCATTCCACCAGGCAGTTGAGGCGAGTGAGACATCCCTGGGGCCAGGGACTACTGGGAGACGCTGGTTGGCAGAACACAATGTTCTGTGGGGCTCGTATGGGGATAGGCGGTCTCGAAGATATGCAGGCCCCTCCTCCCCTGACTGTATCGAGCTTTAAAGGTAATCACCAGCACCTTGAAAACAGATCCAGCGTTCAACAGGCAACCAGTGCAGATCTCGCAGCATCGGGCAGATATGAGACCGCACAGGCAGCGATATCAACACCCTTTAATCACTGTGCCCCGCAATTTCGGGGGCTGGAGATCTAGTTCAGCAGTGACATTGGCTTTTCTGCACTCTCGGTTTCCTTTTAGACCTCCCACGCCTCTCACCGTCTCTTCTTGCAGCACTGGCCAGGATTTGCTCAACCCGATTTACCCTTCCCAAGCCTACCACAAGGGGGCCACCATTCCTAGACTCCAACCAGGACATTCGACAGGGGCGACTTAGAGACAGGGCCTTTTTGGCAATGGCACCGAATCTTCGGGCTGAGATCCTGGGCTAACACAGAGAGAGTTCACAGAAGGCACTTCTGCTGACTCTTTCTCTGCACTGCAGCCCCCCCCCCCAGCAATCCTCCCCCAAGAGTCAGTGGAAGGGTGGCAACAAAGCGGGCCACAGTGTAGGGTGCTGGGAGCTAGTCAAAAACCCCCCCTTTGAAAGCGGGGGGGGGGGGGGACTTGCAAAAATGTACGTAGGGATGATTTTTACTGATTTCCCTTCCCTCCTTCCTGGCTGAAGCCCCTTGCATTACACCCCGTGTTGTTCTCAAAGGTCCTCCAATCCCTAGAGACCGTTTTCTGGGGGTTTAGAGAGCTGCAGCGAGGTGGCATGAGCAGCAGAACCCCTTCCCATGACCTCACTCCATTCCCAGCTGCACGGGATCCAACCCAGTGCCTTCCCCCGTCACTCTGTTCTGTCCACTGCTGTGGTACTGAACATCGATTGTGTTATTTTTTTAGGCTCTACTGGTAGCAGGAGCTCCTTTGCATATTAGGCCACACAACCCTAGTGTAGCCAATCCTCCAAGAGCTTACAGTAGCCCCAGTAAGAAGAGCTCTGTAAGCTCTTGGAGGATTGGCTACACTAGGGGTGTGTGGCCTAATATGCAAAGGAGCTCCTGCTACCAGTAGAGCCCTTACGTTCGGTGTTTGAACATTGCGAGTTCTTTAAGCATTGTTGAGAGGACTGTGGGAAAGAAACCTTTTTAAATAAGCTCTGCTTGGCAGTGGCTGCAGTCCTCTAGAACTCGGGCAACGGCGTCTGACCTGGCTCCTCCAAGGTCTTAGCACCCACTAGATCCAGGTCGGGCTTCATGTGGACAACAGTCTGACCTGGAGTCCTCAGCACATGCGGATGGCACACAGCTTCTGGTCAGCAGTTATGCAACCCAAACACCCCTTTCATCTACTGAAGAATCCCTTCCTGTTGTAATATGTTCATTTATTTTAGGAATGTTGGTTAAGACGCTGAACTGCAGGCTGTGGAAGGTCAGTAGTTCAGCAGTTCGAGACCCGGGTGCCGCATGACGGAGTGAGCTCCCATCTCTAGTTCCAGCTCCTGCCAACCTAGCAGTTCGAAAGCAAGACACTGCAAGTAGATAAATAGGTACCACCTCGGTGGGAAGGTAACAGCGTTCCGTGCGCCTTGGTGTTTAGTCATGCCGGCCACATGACCACGGAAACGTCTTCGGACAGCGCTGGCTCTTCGGCTTTGAAACGGAAATGAGCACCGCAACCCTAGAGTCGGATTCGACTGGCTTTCGAGCAAGGGAACCTTTACCTTTACCTTTTGAACTGAAGAACAACACAGTCCTGTGGCACCTTAAAGATGAACAGATTTGTTGCAGTGCGCATGTCCAAAGATGCCAAGTTATTGTCTTCAAAAACCCATAGAGACAAAGAGAAAAATAATTCTGCGGTGGGAAAACTATTGTTATTCCAATATAACAACAACCCCTACACGTTTTCCTGCTGCACCATTCTTTTCCCTTCGTCTCTTTGCTCCAATGGGTGCAGCCTTTGTTCTCCAGAAGCCCGTGCCAGAGTATACTGACTCATCCTCAAGATGTCCCAAAGTTCTGCTGTCCTTTGCTGATTTTAATATTCCCCCTATTCTACCATCAAAGAGAAAAAAAGGTTTGTTGTTGTTCAGTCGCACAGTCGAGTCCGACTCTTCGTGACTCCATGGACAAGATCCCGCCAGGCCCTCCTGTCTTCCACCGTCCTCTGAAGTTTGCTCAACTTCATGTTCGTTGCATCTATGACACTGTCTAACCATCTCATCCTTTGCCGTCCCCGTCTTCTTTGACCTTCAATCTTTCCCAGCATCAGGGTCTTCTTCTCCAGTGAGTGCTCCCTTCTCATTTGGTGGCCAAAGTATTTGAGCTTCAGTTTCATTATCTGACCTTCCAGGGAACAGTCAGGGTTGATTTCTTTTAGGATTGACTGATTGGATCTTCTTGCAGTCCAAGGGACTCTCAAGAGTCTTCTCCAGCACCATAGTTCAAAAGAATCTCTTCTTCGGCGCTCGGCCTTCCTTATAGTCTTTGCTCGCAGCCATACATGTCTACTGGGAATACCATTGCTTTGACCACGCGGACTTTTGTTGGCAGGGTGATGTCTCTACTTTTTATCATGCTGTTTAGGTTCGCCATCGCTCATCCAAAAACTTGAATTCTGGCAAGCACTGAATGAAACCCAAGAAGAGGGACTGGGTTAGCATCATATGCGTTGTGAGCTACACACCTGTCAAGTCGCTTCCAATTACCCAATGGAAAGGTAACAATGTTCCGTATGCCTCGGCATTTAGTCATGCCAGTCACATGACCATGGAAACATCTTCGGACAGCGTTGGCTCTTTGGCTTGGAAACGGAGATGAGCACCGCATCCCTAGAGTTGGATTTGACTGACTTTCGAGCAAGGGAAACCTTTACCTTTACATGAATTAATGACCTTCAAAACGTCCTATCAGGTCTTGCGAACGGAGGGCCCTCGTGGCGGCCCTGACTGAGTCAGCCCATCTCATGTTGGCTCTTCTCTTCCTGCTGCTGCCTTCCACTCTTCCTAGCATGATTGTCTTTTTCCAGTGACTCTTGTCTTCTCATGACCAGATCAAAGTACGATAGCCTCCGTTTGGTCATTTTCGTTTCTAGGAAGGGTTCAGCCTTGATTTGATCTAGAGCCCACTTGTTTGTCTTTTCGGCGTTCCGTGGTATCCATAAAATTCTCCTTCAGCACCACATTTCAAAAGGAATCAACGTTCTTCCCGTCAGCTTTCTTCATTGGCCAACTTTTACATCCATACATACATAGTAACAGGGAACACTAGGGCATGGATTATCTTGATCTTGGTCGCCACTTAAAAGGGTCTTTTCTACCTCCTTCATGGCTGCCCCTTTCAAGTCTCAATCTGTTTCTGATTTCTTGGTTGCAGTCTCCCTTTTGGTTGATGACGGAGCCAACGAACAGGAAATCTTTAAACGATTTCAGCTGCGTGAGGTCTGGGGAAACCCCCAGTTCAAGTCCCCATTCTGCCATGAAGCTCACTGTGA